GGTAAAAATTGCTGTTTGTCCAAAACATGTGACATATGTCGTTGCTTATCTGAAATCCACATTTAATTGGCCCTCTGTTTTCTCTGGCCATAGTAGGCATTGTCCCACCCACACTGTATGAAATCAAGCCTCTACAAAGCGTGGCTCCTTCAATTCTATTTCTTTTGACTTGGATTCGGAACTGTTCCACTCCAGGCCAAGTTAGATGGTACATCCACAACAGTGCCTCATTCACACGTATTCAAAACCTCTTGCTCTGCAGGTTGTGTGAAGGTAAGAGCTACATTCAAATTGTTTATGGTTTCTCTCCTGAGCCTATTACAACACCTGGGACACAGTGACTGTATGATTAACTGAATAGCTAACGCTTGTGCTCCGAGAAAATGCACAGTTGACCTTTTAACTCCAGCTTTTGCACCTGGCCAAGAAACTCTGTCAGCTGTGTGTGCTTGAGTGCTTACAAGTGTGCATGTGTGCGTGTGTGCATCTGTGTGTGCAGTAGTGACAGGGGAGGCACTGAGCCAGGAGCAATGACACGCTGGTCACAGCCATAATCAGCAAGCTCAGCTAGCTCATAGAGTGGTGCCTCCCACATTTAGTTTGGCTTCTTATCTCAATTAACTCAGTTGAGAAACTTCCTCATAGACGTGCCTAGGAGGTTCTGGATCCTGCCAAATTGAAAATTAGTATTAACTATCACATAGCCAGAACTAAGACATCAATATCTAATATTATATCGATAACTTTTTATTATTTCTTTTCAATATGAACTCTCAAAATAATGTAAAATTCAGAATGTAAAGTTGTGACTATAATCCTGGAAATACAATTTATTTTCTTTGGGTTTTTTTTTTTTAAGTTTTTGGAGATAGGTTTTTCTCTGTGTAACAGCTCCGGCTGTCCTGAAACTCACTCTGTAGACCAGACTGACCTCAGATTCACAGAGATCCACCTGCCTCTGCCTCCTGAGTGCTGGGATTAAAGGTGTGCGCCACCACCAACCCTTCAGCACAATTTATTACTATGACACGAGGGAGGTAGAATGGAGATTCAGAGAGTTTAAATATTTACCTTAAGTAACAGAGCTTATGGGAATCAAATTCTGATCTGTAACTCCAAAGTCAGTTTAAAGATCAGTTTGACGATACCATCTTATTGATTTGCATTGATTACTTCTAAATCTAGTCTTTATGGTAATGTTGGTATTGGCAGAACACTTCTCTGATCACAATTTCATATTTAAACTTTGATACACAAGTATAAAGTCAAATTTCTTCACAAAAATAGTAGCAAATATTAATGAGTATGTGCAGCGTGTGGAAACACTGGTGCCCTCATACGCTGTTGTTTCGAGTGTTTATAACATAAGTGCTATGAAAAGCAATCTGCCAGCTCCTTAGAAAGCTGAAGTGCACAAGGCAGTGGTGGTGCATGCCTTTAGTCCCAGCACTTACAAGGCAAAGGCAGGCGAATCTCAGTGAGCTCGGGGCCAGCGTGGTCTACAGAATGAGTTCCAGGACAGCCAGGGCTACACGGAGAAATCCTGTCTTGAAAAACCAAAGGAAAAAAAGACTTGAAGTGTTATCATATGATCTAGCAATCTATACCTAGCATATGACTAAGAAATGAGAACTTATGCCCACACAAACCTCATATATGAATGTTCATAGCATGCTACTTATAATAACCAGAAAGTGAAAATGGTTCAACTGTCTATTGGAAGTACGGAATGGAATACTATTCAAGCATTAAAAGGAGTGAGGCTTGGACTCATTGTTAAAAAATAAACAAACGTAGAAAACCTTGTTCAGTGAAAGAAGCTGGAAATAAAAGATCATATATTATATGATCCCATTTATATGAAATGTCCAGAACGAGCAAGTCTACAGACACAGATAGTAGATTTATAATTAACTGGCATTTTTGTTCTGTTTTGTGTGTGACCTGTCTACTGACATAATATTCCCACAATGTTTCATTCTTGTATTTTTTAAAATCTGGAGACTGTGAATCTCTGAGACTTTAGTCCTTGGGGAAGCTTGAAATTCCAAACAAAACAAGAGGCCATGATTGATGAGACACCGAGGGACAGTCTAAATAACGAAAGACTTGGAGTCAGGCCTCAGTTGTGAGAGACTAGGACAAAAGGTAATTCTTAGCATATTAGTGTAGGAAAGTTTTTATATATTGTATATAAAAACTTTATATATATAAATATATATTTGTTATCTGACCTATAAATATCTAATATTTAAAAAATCCAAAATATAAGCATACCCAGTTTATTATATTAAATGCATGCTACCAAAATCTAAATGCAGTCGCTTTCTCACATAAGATGAGAAACAGGATGGGCTGGTCAGATAGATGGTTCAGTGGCTAAGGTTGCTTGCTGCCAAGCCTGACAATTTGAGTTAGATCCCTACATGGTAAAAGAGAGAACAGACTCCCACAAATTGTCCTTCAACTTGACACATGCGCCATGTCACATGTGCACACACACACACATACACACACACACAAACATACAATATAAAAAGTACACAGAATTTTCAGGGTAGGTATGTAAGTGAACGCTTGGCCCTAAGAAGGCAGAGGCAGGTAGATCTCTGTAAGAGACCAGACATAGGGCGTTCCAGGTCAATCAGGGCCACATATGAGATATTGCTGTTAAAAAAAAAAAAGGACACAATCGATACTCTCTGTAGTTTACTCCTACAAATGAGCAGAGGGTGCAGAATTATAACTAATAACAGAGGGCTAACGCAGAAAGAAATGTCTTGTGCTTAGAAAAATCTCAGAACTGTAAAGAATTGTTTTTTCTTTTCTTTCTCGAAATAGGGTTTCTCTGTGTAGCCCTGGCTGTTCTAAAACTCACTCTGTAGACCAGGCTGGCCTGGAACTCAGAACTGCACCTGCCTTTGCCTCCCAAGTGCTGGGATTCAAGGCGTACACCACCAGCAGCCAACTCAAAACTGTAAAGAATCTTAAGACAACTTATAAACGCATAAGTACTTTCTTGATTTGAAGCTGACTGAAAGGAAAGGGAAATGTACTATTCAATAAATCAGGAACCTTGGTAACTTTTCTTTGGTCGGTTGGTTTTTGTTTTGTTGTTTTGAGACAGTCTCACTCGGCTGCCCTGATTAGCCTGGAATTCACAGAGATCCACCTGTCTCTGCCTCTTGAGTCCTAAGATCAAAGGCGTGCACCACCACGCCTCAACCCATCCACATTCTTCTTTGCAATCTAGCTTCCTTAGCTGCTAGCAGATCAAAGGAAGTCGGGGTTGGAGAGCAGAATAGCAAACTCAAGAACCTGTGCCAAAAGCATCAGGCAATTCTACTCAACATACCAGATTCTACTGTTGGATCTTGCGGAGTTCAAACCTTTCACCATTAGTTTCTAATACACCTTAATAAGCGTACACTATGTTAACTGAGTATATACAGTTATATTTTTCCCACAGTAAAGAAAACTAACTTGACTTTTGTTGTTGTTTTGAGCTAGGGCCTTTTTTTTTTACATAGCTCTGATTGTCCTGGAACTCACTAACTAGATCTGGCAGGCTTCCAACTCACAGAAATTTGCTAGTCTCAGCCTCCAGAGTGCTGGGATTAAAGGCCTTGGACACACCTGGCCCAGCATGACTTCTGAGAATAAGGAATTGTTTCTCTTAAAGTCTTATAAGAAAATTTTATGTTTCCTCGAGATAAGACTACTGTGGCTCGCTCTCTCTCTCTCTCTCTCTCTCACACACACACACACACACACACACAATGTTATGGTTCTTTGCTTCTGGCTGGAATCATAACTTGGGATGGCTTTTGGTTTTAACCATACTTCAAATATAGGAAGCGTTAACATGTAGTTTTATTTTGAAGATAAATCAATAACTGTCACAATCTTTACTAGAAAAGGCAGTTGTGATATAACTAGGTTTCAGTTGGTAAAGTAAAACAGAAAAAGTTAGAAAATACAATACTTATAAATGCAATTGTGCATGATAAGAGATATTTTAAGTTATGGGAGTCCCAAGCAAAAAATAGTAAAACGTGTCATGGCTGTTGAATTCGCAAACCACATGGCATTGTGACGTTACTAAATTAAACACAGGCTACTGTGGTTTTTAGATACGTTGGGTTAGCACAAATCTCTGGCTCAGGTCTCTACTAAAGAAATTTTAGGAAGTGGAGAAAATGGTGGCAGAGATTTTTACAAGGACAGTACATCTGACGCTATGTCTGAGATTGTTTTGAGCTGTTGAGGTGGGGGGGCGGTGACTAACATGCACGCTTCTACGCAAATGTGCTGTGTGAAAAAAGAGGTAAAAAAAGGTAGACTATAACGTTTGGTAAATGGAAAACGAGTTATTAACCAGGAATGCAAACATCATATATTAAAATATCTTCTAATATAGACGATTAGGGGAAAATATATATTCCTCTCGCAACTCAATTAAACAACAGAAAACTGCAACTAAATAAACAGAAGCACTTACCCTTCCAAGGGAAGATGAGATCTTTCTAAGGTAGCTAGGACCGTGCCAAATATTTATAGAGTACCGACTGAGAGATGGTGCAGATACATTAGCATTTACTTTAATTGTTAAGGTGACACAACATTGTCACTGCAGCTTTTGCAAAGGGCGAAGGAACTCCGGGGGGTTTGTCCAGCCTCCCGAGACTGCAGTGCAGAGGGGCGTGCCGAGTCGTTTCGCAGCAGGCGGGACTCGGGCTGGTGTTTCAGGCTGGGTTCCGGAGGCGCTCGGGTCCAGCCGCTGCCACTGGTGCGGAACGTCCAGGCGCTAGGACAGTGGCTCCGCACGGCGCCAGAGGCTGCGGCTCTGGAACGGAGCCCCCGGCCGGCAAGGGCCGCTAAGGGCCAGTTCCGCGTGGGCCGCTCTGGCCCTCGGTTCGTCTCGGTAGCCCCCCTCCCCTCCCGCCGCCGAGGGTGGGCGGGTGAGGACGCAGCCAGCGCGCGTGCGCGCTCCGCGCTGCAGCTAGTCTGCGTGCGTGAGTGGGAGGCGGCGGGCCTGCGACTCTGGCCTTCCCGGCTGACTGCTCCGACGCCGCAGCTCCAGTCATGAACCGGTTCGGCACCCGGTTGTTGGGAGCCACGGCGACCCAGCCGCCGCCGCCGAAAGCCCGCAGCAATGAGAACCTCGACAAAATCGACATGTCTCTGGGTGAGGGGCCGGGGCGGCCGCTTCGCGGTGGGGGAGGGGGCGGGAGTCTCAGTGGGGGAAGGGGCGGTTGGTCGCGGTTGCCGGGCGGGTTTGGTCGCGCGTGGGCGGTACCGGCGGGGACCCCCGAGGTGGGGCGGGAGAGACCCCGGCGTGCCCAACACCCGAGGGGTAGGGAGGGGCCATGGTGAGGACTGGTCGGGCCGCGCGGCCCGTAGGGACGGCGGGTGCTGTCTTTTTCCCACGCGGTACGAGCGCTCTCGGGCCACGGTTTCCCTTAGGCGTGTGCGCACCCCACCGGCCTTTTCCTTTTGAAGGGTCTTAAAAGCCGGTTAGGGCTGCGACCGGCTAAAGTCAGCGGCTACAGGAAGGGTTTGCCTGGTATGTCTGTGCCTAGACGTACGCCTGGCATGGACGATTTTCAACCGGCGCCCCCCTGGGAATGCCGGGGGGCGTGGACGCGGTCCCGGAACGGGCGCTGTGAGCTTCGTTGAGCAAGGACCGTATTGCTGTGTTTGATTACGTGTTTACTGAAGCACGTTCCCTAGACGGGTCTCAAAGTTAGCCAGTTGAGGGCGGGGAGGCAGAGATGTACGCAGATTGCTAAAACGACTGTTAGAACCAGGGGTCCAGCACACATAAAAAGGATGCCGTTGATTACGTTATACGTTAAAAAAAAAAAAGCATGATGATAGTTTTTTATTTTCGTAAAAATAAGATTCAATTAAAGTTCGTAAAAATAAGATCTAAATTTCGTAAAATTTAGATTCAACTCTACGAAGCCTTCCGTTTGGTCCCAAAATAATTCCATTTTGTAGAATCATATTATGGCAATGGATAAAGTCAACGCTGCCTGCTTTTTCTTTTCCTGGGTCTTTTCTCCCCACCACCACCCCTTTTTGATATATTTAAAAAAATAAAATACCTGACTACTGAATTCAGGTGTGACATTTTCTGAGGATGGTATTTAGGGTAATACTGGGCCTGGAAACATTCTTTTACTTGCTATTTCTTTACATTCGGCTTACCTCTTCTGTTAATTTGGAAAGTTTTTGATCAGCAGCTGAGAACTCTTTCTTGGTGTCTAGGGTTGCCTCAAGTCAGAACCTTATGTTTGAATTAGGAGATTAACAGGCATATGTTTGGCATCTATTCTGATGACAGTGCTGATCCGTAATGAACTCCTAAGAAAGTGGGGACAGCTTTTGAGTGAAAGGCGTGAATCTGTATAACAAATGCTGGATGCTTACAAGCTGCTAGGCAGTGGGCTAAATAATACACATTTAATTTCCTGACAACCTCACAAGTGTTGTGCTCTTATTGAAAGGTAATCTAGAGCCATACTATTTCAGGGGGACCCTGCTCCTGACACTTCTAATCATGTGACTAAGGACAAATTACTTGTTAGTGCTTTTTGTCTAAAAAGGTGATGGTGGGGGCTAGAGAGATTGCTCAGTGGTTAGCAGCATATTCTGTTCTTACAGTGACCCAGAGTTTGGTTCCTAGCACCCACTTTTGCCTACTTGACTCCCAACTTCTGTAACTCAGTTCCAGGGATCCCATTTCCTCTTTTGGCATCCATAGACACTGTGCTCATATGCATAAACCATCTCATACACGGAGTTAAAAATGAAAGTCTACAAAGGTGATAGTGATTCCCTAGAGAGAGTTGATTGCAGCCTGTATTCTAATTGTTCTTAATAAAAACCCAAAGTCAGATACAGGGATGAAAACTAAAGGATCAGAGAGGCAGCGTGTCTAACCACTAGAGTTCTCACCTCTACCAGTGCTCAGACCAAAGGGTGATCCTTTCTCAGACTGCTCCTCAGACAGACTGCTTCAGATTGCACTGAGCTCCCGTCCCTTACCACCTTATATTCCTCTCTCCGCCCAGCCATATCATACCTGTCTCCCTAGTGCTTGGATTATAGACATGGGATCCCAACTGCTGGGATCACCTTTTTGTGAGCTCTGTTTCTGTTTTAGACAGGATTAATTTCATGTAGCCCAGGGTGGCCTTGAACTAACAGAAATCCGTCTTCTTCTGTCTCCTGAGTCTTGGGATTGAAGGTGTGTGCCACCACTGCCTGGCTTCAAGTAGTTTAGCTCTGCGCTCTGATCTTCAGGCAAGCTTTATTTGTTAAAACACAAATATCACCACAGTTGGTTCTCTCCTGCCTTTGATTCCAGAGATTAAACTCCAGGTCGTCATGCTTTTGCTCCATGAGCCGTCTTGTGTTTTTAGTATGTGTATGTATGTGCAGGTACTAGGCATGTGGATGCCAGAAGTTGGCATCTGGTGTCGTCTTCAGTCTCTACCTTTATGAGGCAGGGTCTCTAACTGAGCCTGAAGCTCATCCACCTGTCTAACCTGCGTGGACAGCGTGTATCAGGGTCCTGTGTCTGCCTCCCCATTGCAGGGATTACAGACTTGTGCACAGAGCCCAGCTTTGTATAGAAGAGCTGAGGATCTGAACTCAGGTCCTCATGCTTGTTGGGTAAGCATTTTACTGACTGTGCCACCCTTCTAGCACCATTTGTGTGTGTGGTGTTTTTTTTTTTTTGTTGTTGTTGTTGTTGTTTTGATAATAAGGACATCAATTAAAGAGGGCTGGTTCTTTTCAAAGTAGGAAAAGAGTGTGTGGAGAGCTGACCAATCCGTCTTTTTCTCAGGAGTGTCCATCCATCCTCCAGGTGCTTTGCTTTTAGTGAGAATCTTAGAGATGCTGTCTTACCAGGTCTACAAAAATTTAGAATCTGCACCTGGGTGTGATGAAGCACACCTTTAATACCAGCAGAGAAGTGGCGGTAGACAGATCTCAGAGTTTGAGGCCAGCCTAGTCTGTATAGTCTAGGCCAGTCATGGATACATAGTGAGACACACGTCCCTGCCCCCACCCCCCCGAAAAAAGTCTGGTTTTATTTTTTTTCCTCCCTCTTTTTCTCCCTCCCTCCATCCCTCCTTCCTTCCTTTTTTTTTCCTTTTTTGTGGCTCTGCTGGACTGATAAGAGAATTTATAGAGTATCTACCAAGTTAACTAGTAACTGACATTGGCTCAGCTTCTTAATTTAAAAATTAATATTATAGCCCTTTTTTTCATAGGATTGTTGTGAGAATAATTGAATGCACTATAATTATCTCAGACACACACACGTACAATTATGTGTATGAATATTTTGCCTACAAATGTCTGTATACTATGTGAGTGCCTGGTGCCTGTGGAAACCAGAAGAGGGTGTCTGATCCCCTGGAACTTGAGTTGTAGCCGGTTACAAGCTGCTATCTGGTTACCGGGAAAGAGCAGCAAGTGCTCTTAACTGTTGATCCATTCTCTAGCCCAAGAAGAAACTTTATAAAGTAGTTCGTTGTAGTGCCTCTTTTTTCTTCTCGTACCTACCCTGTGTACTCGTTGGGTAGGAGAGGCATTTTCTCTTTTCATATTAAAACATTTTGTCTGAGGACTTAGATAATGAAGTGGTTTTCTATTTTTAATTTTTAGTTACGGCAAGAATTGTGCTATACACCAGTAATCCATCATCCAGCACTCTGGGGAATGAGGCAAGAGGATCATGAGTTTGCGGCTGGCCTGGGCCACAAGCAAGACCTTGTCTCAAATTAATTTCAGCTATATTTATGTCATATATTCTCTTTGTAAAAATTACCCTGGTATGTTTTGCAATGTGTATGGCACATGCCTTTAATGCCAGCATTTGGAGATAGAGGGAGATAGAGCTCTGAGTTCCAAGCCAGCCTGGTCTATGAGTTCAAAGCCAGCCAGGGATATATAGTGGGACCTTGTCTCAAGAACAACACAATTACCCTAGTAGTCAAAGTCAACACCTTCTTTGCCTTAATCCTCTGACTGGGTTCATTGTTTGGGTATATTCTCAAACCTTTGAGGTTGTAGATGTCTATTGGAAAATAAATAGTAAACTATTAAGGGAAAACAATGTTTCCTGTTTTCTTCTCAATGAGAATTATAAGTTCATAGATTTGATATTTATGAAACCTTTTGATTTAAACATAGTGTTAACAATTTAGTGTCTCTCAAAAGACTTCTATGTTGAAGCCTTAGTTCCCCAGCTGGTGGGGCTACTGAGAAGTGATTAAGTCATGAAACCAATGGCTACTCTGGTTTTGACTTTGGTAAGTTCGTAACTGAGTATGTTATTTAGGAGAGGCAGAGCTGAGATGGGGGAGCAGGTTACTAAAGGTGTGCCTATGAAGGGCAGTGCCCTCTTCTCCTTTCCTGAATGTCAGGGGCAGTCAGCTTTCCCTCCATGCCCTTCCATCATGATGTTCTGTGTCACTACAGACCTAAAAACAAAGGGGCCAAATGACCACAGATTGAATGGAACCTCTGAAATTATGATCTCTCCCCTCCCCCGAAAAAATAACTCACCTTCCTGTTTTCTTTTTCCTTTTGGTTATTTTTCTTCAATGAAGGAATGTGACTAACACAAATGGCTTTTATTGTCTTTTATCTTATTGATGTTGAAGAGCAAACGTAGGGTCTTAGGAATGCTTACAGTGGAACATTCTACCGCTGAGCTACACCTCCAGCCCTTGTGTTTTTAAATTTAACAAGCTATTTTGCAGCGAGAGATTGATCTCAAGAAGAGAAATAATGTACTTTGAAGTACTTTAAATTACATGTATTTGTTTGTGCATGTTGCTGTGTGTGTTTAGGCCAGAGAACAACGTATGAGAGAAGTAATGTAAATCATATAAGAAATGATCCCAGGTTCTGGAGAGATGGCTCAGTGGTTAAGAGCACTGACTGCTCTTCCAGAGGACCTGGGTTCAATTCCCAGCACCCACATGGCAGCTCACAGCTGTCTGAAGATCCTGTTGCAGGGAATCTGACACCTTCACACCGATGCACATAAAATAAAGTTAAATAAACCATTAAAAATATTTTTTTTAAAAAGAAATGATCGTTATCATGTTTTGTATTTCTTTCTCTGATTTAGGAAAAAGTAATTATATTGACATCTTTATGGTTAAAATTATTTGGAAAAACAATTGGAACTAACCTTTAGCTTTAGTAGGAAGTTGCTGACAGTGCAGTTTCTTTAGTTACTTGCATTGTCCATCATCACAATTAGGGTTTGATTTAGGTACTAGAGGATTTTTCCTTCCTTCCCTTTCCTTCCCTTCTTCATCCTCTCTGTCTTTCTTGAGATAGAGTGACATTACGTAGCCAAGACTGACCTAGGAGTTACAGCATTCCTCCTGCCTCACTCTGTCAAGTGCCAGGATTACAAGTGTGTGCCACTACACCCTGCTGGTTTGGATAGGATTTTTTTTTCTTTTTTTTAAACACTTATATTTTTTGGGTCTGGGATTGCACAACACAGTATGGGTGTGGGAGTCAGAGAACAGCTTGTGAGGATCAGTTCTCTCCTTTGACCATGGTAATAAACTTGAGCCATCAGGCCGGGAGGCTTGGAGGTAACCTTTACTTGTGGAGCCATCTCCCTGGCACCAGATATTTTTTTGAATGAGTATATTATTGTCTTCTGATAACCTTTGACACTTAATGAGTAAGAATTTGAAATACATTTAGTTTTCTCATCTTTACATTGTTCACTGTGGTATTAACAAAGTGTGATGTTTATGAATTATTCTGAGGTAGTTTGATAATGTGTTTAGAATAATGAAGCCTACAGAATTAGGTCAGAATAGAAAGAAGTAATTATTAATGACTTTGCTAGAGAAGAACAGAACCGAGTACTATATCTTTATGATGATATTTGTTAATTTTGCTTGCTATTTGTATGCCTGTTTCCATAAATAATTGAAACTATTGAGAATGAAGACTATCTTACACTTTTGTTCCCTTTATTATCTTAAAGGACTTAACATGTGAATTAATTGCATAAAGTGTACACCCAATAAGTGTTTTTTGAATTCGGGTGAGTTTAGAAATGTCTTTTGAGGTCTTTATTACTATTTTTGAGTTGGTTGGTTGGGTCTTTCTGAGAGCCCAAACTTGCCTCAAACTCAATATGTAGTCAAAGCTGGCCCTTGAACTCCTCCTGATCCTCCTACCTCTGCTTCGTTTCGCTGGGATTACAGGCATGTGCCACCATGCCCAACAACAAGAGTATATATTTTGCTGATGTTTGTAGTACTGTAGTTGTAGGCCTTGTAGTACAAGGCCTTATATGTTCTAGGCAAACACTACTGTTGAGCCGAATCTACCTGCTGTCCTGTCCCCCTGGCAGAACTCATTAGTTGGTAGATCTGCTTTTGTCTATTGATTGGAACTTTTACTAAAGAAACTTTCCTCAAGCATTTCATCAGGTAAAATGGCTGATTGAAGCTTAGGATGAGGGAAGAGGATTGGAATCTAGGTAGCCTAAACTATACAGTAAGTTCAAAACCAGCCTTGAGTACACACTAAGGCTGTCTGAAAAAGCTAAGATAATAATAATGGGGACTAAGTTGAGGATATAGGAGAATATATTTACTATAAAATGAGACTGAGCAATTTATTCATTGTGTTAAAATGAAAATAATTGTGGCATTACCTCTTTTGTAGATGATATCATTAAACTGAATAGAAAAGAAGGAAAGAAGCAAAATTTTCCAAGACTAAATAGAAGACTTCAGCAAAATGGTACTCGGCAATTCAGGATGAGAGTACGGTGGGGAATCCAGCAGAATTCTGGTAAGTTTTAAAATGCAGTTATTTATGGATTCATAATGTAATGCGTTCAGCATAGACTTAAAACCTGAAAGAAATACACCAGTACCACTTCGTGATTTTTATTTGCATTCAGAGTTTTGTTCTGAAAACTTAATAACTTATAAAAAATTATTTCCTAAAATAGCTGATAATTGATCTTTAAATACTAAGTTGTTTAAAAGTGATCTCAGTTTTTTAAATAGTTTAAGTTATATCTAAAGTTTAGAATTGCCAAAGATGAAATACGGCATCAGATTGTTTCCCCTCCCTAGTAGCAGTCTGATGGATAACTGACTCCAGCTTGAATTTGTTCAGTGAAAGAGCATACTGCACCACAAGATAACTTACACTGTTGTGAGGCAGCTCTATTTACTAGAAGATTCTCAGTTTGAACTAAAGCACATCTAAGTATAACAGGAAGCAAACTCATGTTGTAAAGGAGAATCTTTTACTATGTGCAGACTGCTATTCTGCAAAGAAAATTACCTGCAGATATATTTGTTTAGTTAGAGGCAGAGTCTCATTATATAGCCATGGCTAGATGTGTAAACCAGGCTAGCCTCAAAATCACAGACACTGCATGCCTCTGCCTCCCAAGAACTGAGATTAAAGACATGCGCCACCATTGCCCAGTTTTCCTCCAAATTATTCATCTCATCATCCAAGAACTTTATTTGTAAATTCCCAAAGGCGGCGCTAAATTGACTGCTGTAGGTGTTAATAGTTAATTCTGTTAATCTGACCGCTGTTTACCTATAATCATTTCTTTCTAAAATAGATTGAGAACAATAATTCACCATATATATTATAAATTAACTTTAGCAGCTATACCAGCATCTTAGAATAAACCTTTGTTCAAAAAAAAAAAAAAGAAACTTAAGTTTTTTTCACATAATAAAAAGACTTTTTCAGGAACTACATCTGCAATGGTATCTCCAGTTGCAGACTCAAAAGTTGAGAGAGAGGGACATGAAAGGCTTGTGTGATAACCCTTGCCTCTCAGTTCCCCCTCACTGCAAAAAAAAAAAGGGTAACAGCCTAAACAACAGGAACCCATCGAAAAGAACTCTGAGGAAGTGTGGTAAGGATGCTGAGGGTGGCTCACCACATTTGATGGCTTCTGGTGAGGGTGCAGGAGGGGAACAACTCAGTTCTGCTAGAGGGACAGGCCAGTGAGGGTTTGAGCGTGTGCCAGTAAGTGTATGGATCACAAATTGGACTTTAAAAAAAATATCTTTTATCTTTATTATTATTATTATTTTATTTTGGGGGCAGACACAATGTGGGGAGGAAATGGAAGGATTGGAAAATGAGAGTGATTAGGGTGTATGAGTGATTTTCCCAAAGAATCAATAAAAATTTTTTAAAGAGATAAAGCAGGGTTAGCAATAAACTAATGCTTGGTGGCGGGAAGGTTTGGAACAAGAGAATTTTTTCTATTTTAACGTTTTCCACAATAAAAATAGAAGGAATTAAAAGAAAATAACTTTGCCAAATTAGTCAACTGTTTGTTTGTTGTTTTTTGGGACAAGGTTTTTCTGTAGCTTTGGAGCCTGTCCTGGAACTCGCTCTTGTAGACCAAGCTGGCCTCGAATTCAGAGAGATCCTCTTGCCTCTGCCTCCCAAATGCGAAGATTAAAGGCGTGTGCCACCACTGCCTGGTTCTCAACTTTCAATTTTTTATTCTGTATTTTGAAAAGCAAAAATTAATCTTTAGTTGTTTGAGTATAACTTATATGTTTAACAGTTAATATGCAAGCATGTATTCGAAAATACATATTATTGAGAGTGGAACCTACAAGAAACTTAATGTTCTTTAATAATTTTTTTAATAAATTATTTTTATTTTTAATTTATATGTAGGGTTGTGTGCATGTAAGTACAGTTGCTGATGGAAGTCAGGCATTGGAGACCCTTGAACTGAAGTTACATGTGGGTGTGCATCACCTGATTTGGGAAGAGCAACAAGTGCTCTTAACGGCTGAACCATATCTTTAGCCTCTAATAATTTTTTAAATAACTGAATCTACTTTGTACACTTTGTGATAGGTATTTAGTTGTTAGAAATGAATATATAATTATATTGATTTATATTAAAGATTCCTTTACAAGTATTATTTAATATGCCATATAATTGTGCCATCATATGCTTATATATTTTGTTTTGAAGTAATCATTATAAGTTCAGAGTAGCCAGAAATAAGATTTATTAATATCTTCCATATCTGATAAATGGTTTGAACTGTCTGATTCTGGAAATACATAAAGAAACAGTCTTTAGCTTTAAGGAGTTAATTTCTAGTGACAAATAACTTAGAGAAAATAATTTTGAAAATGTCATGCCTATATATATATTATAGGCAGTGCATGCCTATAATCTCAGCATTTGAAGGGCAAAGGAGACTTGTAAATTAAAGGCCAGCTTGGTCTATATAGTGAGACTGTCTCAAAAAATAACAGCCCAAGTTGGGACAAGATGAGATATAGAGGGGAGGCAGGGAGGGAAGCTGGGTAGTTACAGTATGGCTCAGCAGTAAAGAGCCATGCTCTTCCAGAGAACTTACATGGTGGCTCACAACTGTCACTACAATTCCAGGGCATCCAACAGTTTTCTGTCCTTGATGGGCACCAGGGACACACATATATACATGCAGAACAAAGCACTCATACACATAAAATAGTAATTTTTTTAAAGATACAGTATTATGGACTTCACATAATGGTTATGTGCTAAGAGAAAGTGTGATTTAATTTGCTCCCTGCAGCATCAGAAAAATTACCCTTTTGTGGGGTTCTGATCTGAGCCGTGAGGTAAATGGTATCTAGGAGAAGTTTAGCAATGCCTAAGATTGGGGTGCACTGGGTTAGGTGCTCTGCTGATGTGCTAACTTAACATAGAACATCTGCTTTTACTGCTATTGGATTGTGTTAATATCCGATTGGCTGCGGAGTTCAGGTTTCCACCTGTGGTGTCTCTGATGGCATTAGTTTGAGGGAAGAGAATAACAAAATAGATGATTACTGACATATGCATGGTATGATTTTGTTGGGTGAAAGACATCATTGAAGCCTGTAACTCCTTGTCTGAAATATTAACTTAGAAACTCATTAAACACTTGTAAAAACAACTTTAATGTCTGTGGTAGAAGACCAAACCAAACAACAGAGGTGGTCAAAATGTTACCTGGACACCTGTAGAGAATCCTAAAGACTGAAGGGGTCTGGGAGGTGAAAACTACATTTAATCAAGGCATTGTCATTTTCTCATGCACATAGACTCTTCTTCGTGAGTCTCTGTGACATTGGTAATTTAAATTGATGGAATACAGAATCAGAATCTTAGCTTATGCTTTAAAACAAATTACTATGGGCTACGTAGTTTGTAAACCCCAGTAAGTGTATTTCTTGGTTCTGGAGTCTAAAAGTCGTAGATCAGGATTCCACCAGAGTCAGGTTCTGATGAGAACCTTCTGGGTTAAGCCCATGGACTTCTTGTGATAATCTCATGTGCTGGAAAGAGATGTAGGAAACCCTCTAGGGTCCAGTCTATAAGAGTGTGAAAGCTTCCTCCTCATAACTTCAACTACTCCTCAGAGAGGGGCTCCTAAAGTTATTGAAGCAAAGAATGTATGTGTGAAAGAAATTCATGGAAAGGACTGTGGATTTTCAAAAGAAAGATGCCTTTTCTGTATCTAGTTCTAGTTCTCACAGATAAAAGAAGTAAAAGACAGTGGTGTAGGTGGATCTTTCTCTGTCTCAACTGCCAGCTCCCATGTAACCACTTGGAGACTTATTAATTATGAAAGCTGATCAATAGCTTAAACTTGTTTATAACTAGTTCATATAACTTAAATTAACCCATTTTTACTCATCTGCTTTTTGCCTTGTGGCTTTATTACCTCATCTCCATGGTGCCCATACTGCTTGCTCTTCGTCTGCTGACATCTCTGCCCTTCTTCCCAGTGTCCTCTGTGCCTGGGAATGGCAACACAGTAAAGAGAAGAATGCGTATGGGAGCAGTGTTCTAGACACGTTCAGGAGTGCGGAAGATTAAAGGACAGACTCTGTTAGTCTTGTTTCATTTGACCCGGAAACTGTGGTACAATAATGGATTCTCTCTCAGTTTAACCATTCTTCTTTGCTTTGCGATTCACTCTTCTGGATGGTGAGAGAGAGAATGTAAAGTTGGGAAGGAGGTGGGGAAGGGAAAGTGTGATCAAAATATATTTTATATTGAAAAGTAAAATTTAAAAAGATAAAAGTCCAACTCACCCCTGTGTAATAATTTCAGTTCCTCTCATAGTCCTTTATCAAGTCTTGTTTGAGTGCTCCTGTGGCATTTATCCTAAAGGGTCTTACCATGTTCTCTTCCCCTCTTTGAGTGAGTCTAAGATACTGATAGTAAGCTGATGTAATATTGTGAATTCTTTGTCACACACAGACTGTGTCCATCCCAAGCCTTACATGATTTGTGCCAGTGCTTCCTTTCATTTTTACCCTTCCCCAGACTTAAATCTCTCAATCAGTTGTGCTCACCCATGTCTTTATAGTTGTTACACTAACCGGAAATTCTTCATTTCTGCCTTCCTATTTAAATGCTGCTCATTTTGTAACAGCTAGTTCAAAAGCTTACTTTTTCCTCTTCTATTTTTAAAACCACACACCTGCATTTAGAGCATGGTTCTGTTCTTCTCTTTGACCTCTCAGTAATCATTGTTCTTTGCATAACCTATAAAAGTAAGATGGATGCATCTGTCTCATCAGGTTCTCATGAAAATTAAAATTGAACATGTCTAACACTGAAAGTAGTAGCTGTTTCAGTAGTTGATACAAATAAAAATAGCAAGTCATAGATTTTTATATATAGATTCATACAACATAGCTTAATCATTCCTGAAGAAAATCACATGATTTAATTAAAAATTTTGTATATTTATTGCTTTTCTTCTGATAAAATTAATATTAGTTAATACTTCTAGGACTGAGAATACTTGTTGGAAGAGGCCGCTTGTTTGTCCCGGCCACCCAGAACCGAAATAATCACACAGAAACTATATTATTTAAATCACTGCTTGGCCCATTAGCTCTAGCTTCTCACTGGCTAACTTTTACATACTAACTTAACCCATTTCTAGTAATCTATGTATTGCCACGTGGCTGTGGCTTACCAGGTAAAGTTCCCAGTGTCTGTCTCCGAAGGGGCTGCATGACTTCCCTCTGACTCTGCCCTCTTTTCCTCCCAGCATTCAGTTTAGTTTTCCCCGTCTAGTTCTGTTCCCCATAGCTCTGCTATAGGTTTAACGCAGTTTCTTTATACAGAGAGAAATCCCACATCAAATACCTGAGAAGAAATTGTACAAAACATACTACCACTACCCCCACATCTGAATTGATTTTGTTAGAGAGGGTGCGATCATGACATGGCGCCCTGGATGGCAAGAGGAGTTCCTTGTATCCCTGTCCTAATGTGACTCAGTGGGAAGCTGTCTATGGATGTGTGGTGGTGGTGGTGCTGGTGGTAAATTTACTGGGGGGTAAACAAGGATGGGACCTAGACAAATTAATTCATTCATAAATTTCGAACTATTTTCCTTGAGCCAAATAGTGCCAATCAGGGGGCAGGAAGGCTGGTGAATGTTCTTTAGTGTCCCATGCACAAGAATAAACCTCAAGAAACATACTGGCACCTGGACGAAAAGCTTCTTCATACTCTAGAATATCCCTAGCATCCTCTACTGACAAGAGTGTCATGCCCACCGATAAAAAATAGTGTTCTTATTAGAGGCAGATAGTAAAGGATGAACTATGGGAGCTGAGATAGATTTAATTGTGACTCTCACACCCCATAGCATAATAGACCTCCTGTCTTGTATTCTGGTCACAAAACTGAGTATCACACAAAAAGGTTCAAGAGTTAAATAAGCTTGGGAATGACATGTACTATTACCTTCCTCCTAGAGATCCATGATACATATTAGCTCTGAGGAATCCTACAGTAAAGAAAATTATTTTGTTAAAGGTTTTATTTTATGTATATGAGTGCTCTATCTGCATGTATACCTTTATTCCAGAAGAGGGTATCAGATCCTACTATAGATGGTTGCAAGCCACCATGTGGTTACTGGGAATCAAACTCAGGACTTCTGGAAGAGCAGCCAATGCTCTGAACTGCTGAGCCATCTCTCCAGCCCCCAAGATCTCAGTTTCAGAGTGTCTGTCTCTCTCTCTCTCCCCCTCCCTCTCTCCCCCTTCTCTCCTTGTTCTTTTTGTCTTGTCTCTTCTGTGTTGCCCTTGCTATCTGTCGACCATGCTGGTCTCTATCTACCTGTCTCTGCCTCTCGAGTGCTGGGAGTAAAGGCGTGTGCCACCACCACCTGGCTAAGAAAATGATTTTAATCTTAGTTTTTACAGTGAGACTTTTGTTGTAAACCCTATTGCAGGTGTCATCCTAAAGAATTTTCCCTCTAAAATCCATAATTAAGATGAGCCTGCCCACCATCACAGTGTTACTTAGCTAATTCTCTGAAAATTTCTGGCTGTTGCATTAGAAAATTTTAAAAAGTTGAGGTATTATTGGAAGTGAGAAAAAGATATCGTTTGGAGATGACATAATTATCACCTACAAATCCCTATGTTAAAATTACAGAATTTGGGGCTAAAGGTATAGCTAGTTCAGAGATAGAGCTGGGTATAGTATTTATAAGATTCTAGGTTCAAGCTGTAGTACCCAGGGGAAAAGTCAAACCTCCAGAGAAAAGACTTTTCTCTAATATGCAGAATCTAGTGTATATGTGTACACACACACAGACATGAAAGCAAAGGAACACTATTTGAGGGAACTGTTGTTGGGGAGTATTATTTTAAGGTGTATTACTTTTTTATGCCGTGAATATTTGTTTACTGAAGTAAAGATGTATTGCTTTGTTTATGCTGTATTTGTTTAACTCTGTGAAGCTGTGATTCTTTGCCTGTATAAAACACCTGATGGCCTAATAAAGAGTTGAACGGCCAATAGCAAGGCAGGAACAAAGATATATGGGGCTGGCAGGCAGAGAATATAAATAGGAGGAGAAATCTTGGAAGAGAGGAGCAAAAGAACAAGGAGAGGAGGACACTAGGGGCTACCCTAGTAAGATATACAGAAGTAAGAAAGAAAAGGAAAAAGCCCAGAGGCTAAAGGTAGTCAGGGTAATTTAAGTTAAGGAACGCTGACAAGAAACAAGCCAAGCTAAGACAAGGCATTCATAGCTACTAATAAACCTCCATAATGATTTATTTTGAGAGCTGGTGGTGGGCCCCTCAAAAAGCCAAAAGTGTAAAACATCAAACAACAGGAAGGAAGAGGACTTGGAATGTGACTCAGTGGTAGAACACTCGTCTAGCATATATAAGATCATGAATCCCCACCACCAAAAAAGAAAGTAGTAATTAATAGTTTCACGATAGGGCACTGGCCATACATCCATGTGACTCTCTCTGGGTTTAATCCTCAGCACAAAAAGTAGTAGTAATTAAAATCTTAATAACTTTTTATTATGCCATGAATGACAATGTGAAAAATATTAGTAGAAATAAATCTTTTATGTGATTGATAAAGTTTATAGAATATTTAGTGGTAAGATAAAGAAATGTGCAAAAAAGAATTTCACTTAGCCAGCCTAGTGACACAAAAATATCTGTATAGTAGAAATATATACCATGTTCGTGGATAGTAAAGTTCAGTAAAGATGCTTACAGTTAACTATAAATAAATGTAAATAAAACTCCCCTCTTATTTGACTTTTTCTTGAGACAGGGCCTCTCAACATAGCTCTGGCTATCCTCGAACTCACAGAGATCTATCTACCTGCCTCTGCCTCTGCTTCATGATGCTGGGCTTGAAAGTGTGTCCCACTGGCCAGTTTCCTTCTTAAAACCCTGGAAGACATCTCTTACATCACAGAAATCTGCTTCATGAATGTTGGCAATTCATAATGAAAGAATATAGATAGTTAGAAACCAGAGATAATAGGTTATTCTCATTGGTAATGAAGTCATCAGATAAAGTATAATTCCCCCCCCATACTAAATAATACAGATGAAAAATGGGCTAAGATTTTGGCTAGTTGCTCCAAACCTAAAAAAACAAATACTAAAGATGAAAACAAAAACTGAATCACACAAGGGAATTTAGTAAGATTGGGATATCCTGGGGCTAGAGAAATTGATGAGTGATTAAGAGTATTGGCTGCTCTTGCAAGAGAACCCGGTTCAGTTCCCGGCACCCACATGGTGGTTCACAGCCATCTGTAACTCTACTTCCAGGGGCTTGGACATTATTCTTCTGACTCCCGCAGTCACTATACACATGTGTATATGTATGCTTACATATGTGCATAAAACATAAATAAATCTTTAAAAAACAAATATACTATGCAAAACATTTTTCATAAATAGAAACATTTAAAAGTTAATACAGAAAAGGGAATTATACTGGATGTTTCTAGAAATACAAGTAAATTTATTCATTTGGTATTTTTTTTGAAATATAAGTAAAAGAAATATGTTGAGGATGGGTGTGTGTAGAAATGTTAGAAGTAACTGAAATGAAAGTTGAAGGTCATCTTGTTATATAATAAATTACCTGAGACCCTGTCTCAGAAAGACAAAACATAACCAAGGTGATGACTAAATTGGTTAGATTGAGTGTGACATATTTAAGAGTAATATATAAAAAGTGGAATACTATTCATAGTATAGTGTTAATGTAGCCTGTAAAATCTTACACGAGGATATGAGTTTAGTTAGTGTGAAAAGTTGATTGAGCTCACCTTTTGGCTACTTAGCTAATAAAACGGTGGTAATACATGTAATAATACTTTTTGAGTTAAATATAGTTGAAACTAAAACTGTTTTTAGAATATCTACAGCAAGCTTTTTCTATTTAGACTATTTTGTTCTTTGATAGTTTAATATATGTATAGAATGGGCATTTTTTTATCATTAGAAAAAAGTATATAGGGGCTGGAGAGATGGCTCGGCGGTTAAGAGCACTGGCAGTTCTTCCAGAGGACCTGGGTTCAGTTCCCAGCGCCCACATGGCAGCTTACAACTGCCGGTAACTCTAACTCCAGGGAATCTGGCATCCTCATAAAATACCAGTGCACATAAAGTAAAAATAAAGGAATCATATTTTTAGAAAAGAAAAAAGTATATAAATTAGAGAGCTATTTAACAGAAAAGCAAACTCAGTAATGTTACGTGCCACAGAGTTTATAAGTTCATTGGCTCTAATGAAGATTTCAGCAAAAGCGGTTTGGATAGAGTAAGACTAAGAATAAAGAAGCCAAATTGTAACTTAGTAAACGGAAGATGAGCTGGGGACTCCAGTGTAGATCAACACTAATAGAAATAAAATTCGAACCATGTACAAAGGGACCTGATTTAGTCAAGCATATTCAGTGTATTACCATTTTAGCATAAAATACGAAATCATTAATGAACCACTATGTACAGTCTAAGTTCAGACTAGTCAAGGTATTCATTAGCTACATATAGTTAGTGGCCACTATTGAACATGTCACACATCTATAATCCTAATTTGGGAGACAAAAGCAGGAAGATTGTTGTGAAGTCAAGGCTAACCCCATCTTTTTAGCATTTTCAAGACCAGACAGAACTATTTAGTGTTTCAAAAACAAATAAATTAGTAGCCCCTGTACTACACAAATTGGTTTAAGATTGTCCTATTGAGAAGTTAATATTAAGGGTTGGAGTCTCAGTAGTAGAGTGTTTGCATAGCACACATAAGGCTGTGAGTTTGATCCCCATCACCACATACACATGTTTCAGAAGTAAAATATCTGATCAACTTTGCAGTTGCATTCCTAAATTTTTAGTATCCTTTCCTTCTTTCTGTAGGTTTTGGTAAAACAGGTGTGAGCCGTAGAGGAAGAGTTTTGCCTGGAAAGAGACGTCCTTATGGAGTTATCACTGGCCTTGCAGCTAGGAAAGCAACTGGAATTCGAAAAGGAATTAGTCCTATGAATCGTCCACCTCTAAGTGACAAGGTAGGATGATGGCTCGTTCCTGTGCCAGATACCATTTTCCTTTATATTTGTGGGTGAGTGTCACATACTTATTGTTAGTGAATTTTAAAACAAAAATCTCATTCTGTAGCCCTTTCTGGCCTACAAAACTTACTATGTAGACCATTGGCTGGCCTTGAACTTACAGATGTCTCTCTGCCTCTGCTTCTTAAATGCACCACACCTGGCTATACTAATGTTTTTATGAATAAGCTTTGGATAGAGTCTTTTGATTCTTGCAAAAAAAAAAAATTAAGGATTTTATTTGCGTGTGTGTGTGTGTGTGTGTGTGTGTGTGTGGAGAGAGAGAGAGAGAGAGAGAGAGCGCGAGCGGGTGCGAGCGCGCACCCAGGTGACCTTGGAGGTAGAGGTATCAGATCCCTGGAGCTGGAGTTACAGGCGGTTGTAAGCCACCTGTCATGGGTGCTTGAAACTAAATTGAGGTCTTCTGCAAGAACAGCAAGTCCTGTTATTTCCTAAGTCCTCTCTCTATCCCCTCCCCCCATTTAATTTAAGAAAATAATTGTGTGTGTGTGTGTGCGCGCGCGCACGCGCGCGCGTGCGTACGCAGGCAGGCACATATGTACCAGGATGAATGTGTGAAGGTTGGAGGACAACTTTTGGGAGTTCTCTCCTCCTTCACCATTTAGGAATAAACTGATGGCTATAAGGGTTGCGTGGCTGCGGGACCGTCTCATCAGCCTCAGAATTTAGATTCTTATTTATTCTTTTGGATGGTGGAGATTAAACTCAGAACTAGACAACCACTATACTACTGAACTGTATCCCCAGCCTTGATTTTTTTTTAATAATTTTTTAAAATTTATTTAACTTTATGTACATTGGTGTGAAGGCGTTAGATCTCCTGGAACTGGAGTTACAGACAGCTGTGAGCTGGTCCTCTGAAAGAGCAGCCAATGATTTTAATCCCTGAGCCATTTCTCCAGCCCTCAGCCTTGATTTTTAATTTATCTTTTTGAATCAAGATCTCATGTAGCCAAGGCTTGTCTTGCACTCTGCCTCTACCTCCCAGATGCTGGAATTACAGTCATGTTCCTTCATGCCCATGCTCCTCTGATTTTTATATTTAATACAGTTTATTTATTTTGGGGACAGGGTCTCTATAATGAAGCCCTAGCTGTACTGGAATTCAGTATGTAAACCAGACTCACAAAGATTGGCCTGCCTCTGCTTCCCAAGTGCTAGAATTCCCAGATTTTTTTTTTTATTTTTTAGATGAAGTACTTTAGGACTTTATACATAAACATTTTAATAACTAAGTAAAAATCTTTGCCATTCATAAATATACCTAATGCTCAAATACAGTTGTTCCTCCATATCTGTGGGAATTGGTTCCAGGAAACTTCTTTGATACTGAGATCTTCCATAGCTCAAAGTCAGTATAGTATTTGCTTATAAAATATGCCCATTCTCCTGTGTACTTTGTTATCCTTCAGTTACTTGTAGTTCCTATTAAAATATATTGTATAAATAGTTGTTTTGCTCTATTTACAAATCAGTGACAAGGAATATCCATATATACATTTAGTAAACTTAGTTTCTGTCTCCTGTTTTTGAGGAGGGGGAAGAGTTGAACTCACTGTTTAGTCAAAGATTACTTGAACAACTTGATCTCTCCTGTCTTTCCTTACCGAAGGAGGCTTGGATTATAGGACTGCACCACCATATCTGGCATAACTAAGCTTAAAAATTAACTTATAACAAATAATTATAACATGCCAGGTACTGAAAAATTATGTTTCACAAATGAGACCTACACATTTATCTATAATAGCTATAATTTATCTAATATATCTATAATATAATAATCTTTGGTGTTAAGACTTAAGATAAAATGAAGCTTGGAATAGGGGCTAGAGAGATTGTTGCTGGGATACGAAAACATGCTTCTCTTGCTGCTCTGGAGTTTAGTTCCCATCTCCTATGTCAGGAAGCTTATCATCACATGTAACTCCCGCTCCAGGGGCTTCCACAGCTTCTTCTGGCCTCTGCAGGCACCTGCATGCATATGCACATACCCACACTTAGACACAATATGCATAATTAAGAAAAATGCTTGAAATAGGCATGGTCTTTCTGATCTTGTGGGCTTGTTATGTTATTGATAGTTTTTTTTTCTTATTCTACATTTCCTTCTTTTCTAAATAATCTCTAAGCACCAATGAAGGGGCACTGGGGAAATGGCTCAGGACGGCACTTGGTGTGTAAGCATGTGAACCTTAGTTCAATCCACATAAAACAACCTGTAATTGGAGAGCTAGAGAGATGGAGACAGACAGGTTTCCTGGGACTTGCTGGCCACCCAGTCAGTCTGTTTGGAATGAGTGGGTTGCATAATCAGTGAGATTCTTTCTCAAAAAATAAAGTGGAAAGCTTTATTTATTATTATTTAATTTATTATTTAATATTTTTATTGTTGAAGAAGATTTGTGTGGACATCTGTCCACACACACATGTACATGAATATATGTGCATCCACACACATGCATACCACACACAAGTAAGTAAAGATTTGTTTAAAACAAAAATGAAGCCAACTATGATTGAATCATAATCCTAGATGGAAATTTGAGAATTGTAGCTCTGAGGCTAGCTACACAATATAACTCTGTCTCAGGAAAACAAATAAACTGTGTGTAGTAGTACATAACTTTTAATGTCAGCACTTAGGAGACATAGACAGGTAGATCTTTGTGAGTTACATAGTGGGTGCAGGAAAGCCAGGTAAATGTAGAGAGACCCTGTCTAAAAAAGAGAGAAAGAAAGAAATCAATGAAATAAATCCAGGCTAAATATTCAAGAAAAATATTTAAATACTGTTTAACTTCTCATGCTTAAAGCAATAGGAAAATGCAGATAATGTATAAGAAATGGTCCATACAGTAAAGGAGTTTGGAGACATCTTCATAGAAATATGGAAAATTGAATTAGATTATGATGGATATAATTTACATATGTGGAAGGGGAAAAAAGACATTTCATGTGTTTGATTTTTATTAAATCCCACCCCCAATCAATTATACTCTACCTTCATTGTTAGTATGATATCATTTTCACATACTTGTTTTGGAAATTGGCATTTATTCCTTTACATACAAAAAGTCAGTGTTTTAGTATTGTAGTAAACTAGTTAATACTAATTAAAGAGTAAGGTTTATTTTGGCCTTATTTTTTGGGGCTTGTGGGTTGTTCTGCTAGGAGTCAAGGAGAGGCAGAGCACATAGCTTTGGGCCTCTGGTGAAATAGGTCATGGCAGAAGACTGTAGTACAGCAAAGGTGTCATCTCATGGCCAGAAATCAGAGAAAGAGGAGGGGGTAGGGTTATCATACTTCTCCCAGTGACCTAAGAACTTTCTCAGTGTGCCTTGGATTCTTTTATTGAGTGCTAGAGTAACATTTGTCCTTCACCAGTTCACCTTCTCACCCAGTAGCTTAGGTATTTCTGTATTAAGTGTAATATGATTGTCATCATGTCAGTCATTTACAAAAATTTCAAATTATCTTAGTTTTTTCATCTCCCTATTGTATTAAAATAGTTCTAGGGTTCTGTCATTGCACATTAGAAAATGTTAGTAAGGCTTGGTAGTGCACATCTTTAATCTCAATACTTGGGAGAAAGGCAGTTGAGTTTCTGTGAGTCCAAGGCCAGCCTGGTCTACATAGCAAGTTCCAGGACAACTAGGGCCATATAGAAACCCTGTCTCAAAAAACAAAAACAAAAAATAACCACAAAAAAATTTTTATTGTAGAAAGATATATCACAGATGGCAATCTGATTAACACAGTTGTCTTACGTTCTAACAGAATATAGAACGATATTTTCCAACCTTAAAAAGGAAAACAAGTCTTCTGAGACAAAATGAAGTACAAAGGAAACCAGTTGCAGTTCTCAAGAGACCTAACCAGTTAAACAGAAAGTAAGTACTCAAATAGAAGAATGGGTTATTGTCGCCCCCGCCTCGCCAGCAAGGAAGACTCAACACTGGACTCTCCTCACTGCCACTGCGGGTTTTATTCAGGCCCTTTGAATCATCTTTTCACCCTCTCGCCCTGGGGCAAAGCCAGCCTACAGCTTAAATAACCTCTGGGTAGCCAACCCCAGCAAGCCACGTGGGAAACGCAGTTAGGTCCAGAAACGTGGAAGCAAACCAGATTCTTAGCGTTAGCCATATATGGAGTTGTACACACCTGAGAGCACTCACCATTGGAAAGGTGGAAGGCGGGAATCAGCACCACCTGTAAGGCGTGGCATCACACAGCTCTCTACAGGTTATCTGAAAGTCTGCGTTATTTCCTTGTTGTGTTGCTGTGCCATGATAACTGACGAAAACAGCTTAAGGATGGAAGTGTTTCTTTTAGGTTGTAGCTCATTGTGGCAGGGAGGGTATGGCAGCAAGAACAGGTCGGTGACAGTGTCCACAGACATGAAACTGATGGGTAAGTAATGTGCTCAGCTCACTTTCTCCTTTTTCTACAATTTGGGTCCCTAGTTCATGGACTGTGTCTTAGACACCGTGACCCAGGCAACTTACAGAAGAAACAGTTTATTTGGGGTGTAAGATTTCAGAGTCCATGAGCATCATGGTGGGGGAGCATGGCAGCAGGCAGATGTGGTTCTGGAGCAGTAGTAGCTGAGAGCTTACATCTTAATCCACGAGTAGGAGACAGAGAGAAAGAACACTGGGTATTGAATCAATCTTTTGAGACTTCAAAATATACCTCTAGTGTCACTCCCTCCTCCAACAAGGCCACACCACCTAATCCTTTCCAAACAGTTCCACCAACTAGTAACCAAGTATTCAAATATCTGAGCTTTTGGGGGTGCCCTCTCCCTATGTTGGATGAATTTTCCCACTTCAGTTTAATCTAATCTAAATATTCCTTCACAGAAATATCACAGATTTCTTTTCATAATAATTATAAATCCTGCCAAGTTGCCAATCAAGATTAATGTTCACAGTATACAAAATACTTTCTTTGATAGATATTCAGAAGATTTGCAGTGATTCTTACTAGGTCATTTCAGTACAGTTATTTGGAGGTCTGGAGTATGGCTCGGTGCACTTAGCTAGTATGTGGGAGGCTAAGGGTTCCATTCCTAAAGCTGTGGGGGACCAAAAAAAAAGGTATTTGAAATGTCTATATGAAATCTAAGATGGAAGGCATTCTGTAATAACTTTCTATTTTTTAGACACAGTAATATTAAGGAATTTCATCACTATAAACTTTTTAAAAAGTATCACTTTTTAATTGTGTGTGTTTGTACAGGTGTACCATGATGCATATGTGGACTTCACCTTTAACATATAGAATAAAATTGTGAAAGTAATCATTTTGGTGAAACTCCTAGCACTTGCATCATAGTTACTCAAAAATGGAAATTCTGAAAGCTGAATTGATTTTTTTTTTCAGCCTTTACTCTTAAAACACTGAAGCATAGTATGTATTATTTTTAGGCAAGCTAGAAGTTACATAAATATTTCTGGGTTTTGGATTTTTTTTTTTGATAGTCTTGTTGTATAGCCCTATAACCATGTAGATCAAATTGTCCTTAAATTTGAAAGGATGCTTCTGCCTATGCCATCTAGATGCTGGGATTCAGGCATATGCCACCAGCCTAGGATGCATAGATATTTCTTAAATTTAAACTACTTTTTCACTAAATTTAAGATCACTAAAAAAACCTAAATTTTTTTAATTAAGACATTGTCTGTTCTCTATAAAGAATGAAATAATTAGGCCGGGCAGTGGTGGCACACACCTTTAGTTCTGCATTGCTTATACTCTGGCAGGGATGTGGCTCAGTTGTTAGGGTGCATCCCTAGCATGCACCAAACTCTGGTTTGACCCAAGCAGCACTTAAAACCAGATATGGTTTCCAGCATTTGGGAGGCAGAGGCAGGCGGATCTCTGTGAGTTCATGGCCAGCCTGATCTACAAGAGCTGGTTTCAGGACAGGCTCCAAAGCTACAGAGAAGCCCTGTCTTGAAAAAAGTTAAAAAAAATAATTGAAGTAATCAGAAAGGCAGCTGATAATCTGTGAAGTTACTTTATTGTTTGAATATCAAATGCTGTTATTTGTCTCTCATAGAATACAATTTATGATAAAGACTTCAACTTGGATTGAAGTCTTTCTATACATACAGTAATCAAATTGCAGTTTTGCCTAATGATAGTTTTTGGAAGTCATTTGATATGGTATCTTTTGTGAAAGGGGATTCTTTGCAAATAAGGATCTGCCATTTATATGAGGTTTATGTGTTAATTGTGTTAGCTAAAAAATTTTTGCATTTGAAACTCTGGAGGTTGGAAGTGAGATTTAGGTAACCTTTTAAGTACTTGATTATGTAGTAGGTAATTAAAAAATTTTGGGTCTTTTTTTATATTAAAGTGGTAAAAACCAAGTCAAATATAATTATGTTATTTCATGTATGAAAATTAAAAAGTAGAAGTGTAACTTGAAAAATGTATTTTTTATTAAATGTATATGCCACATAGCATTATGTTAGAGGTTAGGGGACAATTTTGAGGAGTTGGTTTTTTACCTTTTGCCTTAAGTGAGTTTGGAATTAAACTCAAGTTGTAAGGTTTGCACAGCAAGTTTATTTTTCTGCCGAGGCATCTTGCTGGATCAAAAAGCATGGCTAATATGCATTCATATGCATACACACCTCTAGGTTTTGTATGTTTGTGTTTGTTTTCCCTTGCCATACTGAGGATTGACCCAAGGCCTCAGATATGCTAGGCAAATGCTCCACCTTTTAGTTCTGTCCCTACCCATGTCCTTGGTGATAACAAAGGGTTCCGAATGAAGATGAGGAAGAAAGCAAAAGCAACAGAGATGGTTTTTCCAAATCTTTTGTTGTTTTGTTTGATTTTTTCGAGACAAAGGTTTCTCTCTGTAATCCTGGCTGTCCTGTAGCTCAACTTTGTAGAGTAGGTTGGCCTTGAACTCACATAGATCTGCCTGACTCTGCCTCCTGTGTGCTGGGATTAAAGACATGATCCACCACCACCAGGCTCCAAATCTTTCTTAAAAAGATTTATTTTTGTTTTGTGTGTATGGTGTTTTGCTTCCATGTGTATCTGTACATTACATGTTTGCAGTGCCCACAGAGGTCAGAAAAGGATTCCGGATCCCCTGGAACTAGAGTTAACAAAGTTGTGAGCCAACCATGTGGGTGCTGGGAATCGAACCCAGGTCCCTTGGAAAGTACACCCAGTGCTCTTAACTGTTGAGCCCTCTCTCCAGTCACAAGTCCGTATTTGTGATTTTCAGATTGGCTCTGAGTGTATCTAGGTATGATTTTCTTTGAACTAATCTTGTAAATTGTAATTTAAAAAACAAATTTAGGGATATTAACTAATAGCACTAAAATGTAATTTTGTAAATGTCTTCAAAAGTTGTGAGTAATATTAGAGAGGAGAATATTTGAGATATGGATTAGTTCAAAACCAAGTTACGTGATGTACTGCATAGGGAGATATTTGGAAATCAAAGTTAGTGACTTTGTGTAAATAAAAAAGCAAATTGGAGTTTATATTACATGCTCACCAGATTTTAAGCTTATGAGTTTAACTTTTTGCTTATTTTTTCTCAAGGTATTTGAAAGCAAAATGACTGAGATTACTCATACATGTTTTTTGTTGCAGAAATACCATTCCAGCTAATTTTACCAGGAGTGGAAATAAACTAAGTCATCAGAAAGATACTCGTCAGGCAACTTTTCTTTTCAGAAGAGGCCTGAAGGTATTAACACGCCCTGGTTGTGCTTCCTTTACTCACAGTGGATCCTTTAGTAATCATAGACATGACCTGTTGTTGAGAGGGAGAGTAGGTTTTAGTGTGAAAAGCAAGACATTAGGTTAGTTCTTTCTGTTAATACATTTTTTTTTTACTATTTCCTGTCTTTCTCTTGCGTGTATAGTGGCATCTTCTAATAATTTAACTTGCTTATTTACTAATTTGTTCTAATCCATGGACCCCCAAAAGTGTGTATAGCTAACATGGTACAGGCCCTTCCTGGATCCATGCTCATCTTAAACCTGGGTTGTAAAGTTACAGTGCATGATAGCCAGTTGGCTTTAATCCTATTTTCTATGAGATGTGCTGGGGTTTTGTTGTTTTTATTTTCCTTTTAGGTTCAGGCCCAGTTGAACACAGAACAGCTGCTAGATGATGTTGTAGCAAAGAGAACTCGTCAGTAAGTTTCATCTTGTTTTTTTCTAAACTCATAAGATTGCCCTTTGTTCCATGTGTGAGAAGAACTTAATGAAACACAAAGTGAAACTCTTCCTGCATTAGGTAAATAGAACCCAGGATCTCACGTGTGCTAGATAATCACTGAAGCACTTTAGTCCCCAGTTGATTGAGGTTTCAGATGCTCGTTTAGTACTAGTTACTAAACTAATTCTTCACTGTTTATCTGGTTTAAATGGTGTAGATTTTCCATCTTTTGTCCCTCCCTCCCTCCATTTCTCCCTCACTCGTTCTCTCTCTCTCTCTCTCTCTCTCTCTCTCTCTCTCTCTCTTTCCCCCCAACCCTCTCTTTTTCTTTCTTTCTTCTTTCTCTTTCCTCTGTACCTTCTTTTATACAAATGAATTTAAGGAATGACTAGAATTGAATCCCATAGAGCTTTTAGAAATTTTATAAAACATAAAAATACAGTAGGATTTTTTTCTCCTTACGACCCTGTGAAAGTCTTTTAAAAGTCAGTTTGTCCATTATTCTTCCGAAGTATAGTGTATACTTGTATAGTTCTCTGACTCCACCATCAGAGTTATCAGAATTTAGAATATTTTTTAAACACTTCTATTCATTTTTTCGAGGATTACTTACTTTTATGTGCATTTGTGTTTTGCCTGCATGTATGTTTTTGTGGGCACCAGATCCCCTAGAACTGGAGTTAGACAGTTGTGAGCTACCATGTGGGTGCTGGGAATTAAACCCAGGTCCTCTAGAAAAACAGCCCAGTGCTCTTAACCACTGAACCATCTCTCCAGCCCCTGAAATTGGAATTAATTAATTTTTTTTTTTATAAAACAGCAGTTACATTTTGTTGAAAAAAAGTGTAAAGGTTGTCATGGTCCAGATAAGTAGAGTGAAGTGTGATTATGAGCAGACTGTAAGAAATTATTTGAACCTGATGCTGACAGTAACCTTTAGCACAGGAGACATGAACCAAAAACTACAGGAGAAAATAATCATTGTGCTTCTTCAGTGAATATTTATGTAATGGTGATGTTATAGACTGTTTATGCCGGGAGAGGATCTCGCAGGATTCTGCCTGTAATCCAGTGTGCAGCTGACTTTAGTCTTGAGCTTCTTATCTTTCTGCCTCCACCTCTCCAGTGCCGGGATTGCAGGGTGTGCCAGGCTGCTTGGCGTTATTTGTCTGTTTTGAGCTTTGAGAGTAAAACACAGATAAAGATAGTTGATTTGGGGAAATACAATGGAAGTGTGCCAGATTTTGGATGATATAAATAAATATAGAGGTGGAGTGGCACTGTTGTGGCATTCACCTGGAATCCCAGTGTTTAGAAAAGTGGCACAGGAAGATTCCAAGTTCAAGACTAGCCTAGACTACATAGTGAGGCCCAGTGATGGTGAGGAGTGGGAAATACAAGATGGGAGAAAAGGTGGAAAGGAATAGTGAGGGTATTAAACCTCCATACAAGCAGACAGAGAAGTTAGGTGCTTCTGGAAGAACTGGAATTTTAAATTACAATGAAAAGTAAAATAATACAGCCATGAAAATAGTTAGAAGTAAGCAGGGAAGCTGATGGCCTTGTTCCAGCTTGGGAAGTATTTTGTTTTGTTTGTCTAGGAAGATCTTTTGACATAAACATCTTGTTTAATAAACTAAAAGTAGCCAGCAGTCAATGAAAATAAGAAGTGTCAGAAATTCTACCTCTAGTTTAGAAATGGTGAGCAAGAGCCTGGGATGAGAGACTGCTTGGTTTCATTAGAGTCTTCTCTGCATTTAATTTTATTTAAAAAAAAACTGTGTGTTCATTATATTTTTAAGAGTCTAACAAATTCAGGTTTGCAGTTCTTACACCTAAGATGTTGGTGTATTAAGTAGATCCTGGTAGGGTTCAGAATCTGTGTGCGCGGGTGTGTTTAGTCTGAAAAATGAATGACTACTATGAAAATGTATGGTTTTGAACTGAGAGTTTATCTTGATAGTAGAACGTTGGTACACTAAGACAGATGGGCAGAGAGGCAGAATGAATATTGTTTAGTGGGATACACTGTAAGATTTATAAGCTTCCATCTTAAAAAATTTCAAACCTAGATGGCGTACTTCCACCACAAATGGAGGAATTTTGACTGTATCCATTGACAACCCTGGAGCAGTACAGTGTCCAGTGTAAGTATTTTTCTTCCTTCTTTTTTTTTTCCTTCAGAAATTGTAATCTCTTGGTATGTAATAGGAAAATAAAAAGTATTGGACTTGTGCTCAGAGTATATTGTCTGTATGAAGATAAAATGAGATGCAAGGATAGAGAATATTTGTGACCCTAACAAGGCCTTTAGTCCTAATACTTGAGAGGCTAAGGCAGGAGGATTGCCATGAATTTTAAGGCCAGGTTTAGATACTTCAGTGGGTTCAAAGTTATCTTGGACTAACCGTTTCACTATATGTGTTGCACTAAAAAACATAGATTAATTTAAGGACCACGACTTAGAATCACCAATTATTTGACTTGTTACAATGTTGTATAATTAGGACTAGAGTGGTGACTATTTTTTGTGTTGTTTTTCAATTTTTTGTTTTTCAAGACAGAGTTTCTCTGTGTAGCATTGATTGTCCTGAAACTCCTTCTGTAGACCAGACTGGCTTTGAACTCACAGAGATCCACCTGCCTCTGCCTCTGGAGTTCTGGGATTAAAGGCATGTGCCACCACTACCTGGCTTAACCTACTATTCTTGCATAGTATCTTGAGTTCAGTTCCCAGCACCCACAACACAGATCTTAACCATCTGTAACTTGAATCTCAGAGGCTCCAACACCTTCTTCTTAGCTTCATGGCCACTGCATGCATGTGGTGCATATGTATGCATGGAGGCAAACACTCATGCACATACATATAAAAGAGGGGGGGATTTTTAAAAATGTAATTATGGGATTGGAGAGATGACTCATTAGTTATGAGCACTCTGCTCTTTCAGAGGTCCTGAGTTCAATTCCCAGCAACCACATGTGACTCACAACCATCCATATTAAGATCTGGTGCCCTCTTCTGGCCTGCAGACATTCATGCAGTCAGAACACTATATACATACATAATAAATTATCTTTTTTTAAAATATAGTTGTACTTGAAAAAGTATTCTATGAGTAGCTTTTGGTAGAGTAGTCCATCAAGAGCCAGCACTTTATTATTAGTGTTTGAGAGCATAATGTAATACCCGTAATTTACTTGAACATGTGTAAAGATATTTTGAGTACTTTTAACTGGTAAACTAACTGAAACCTTTTTTTCCTCTGGTAGAGCTCAGAAACCACGATTAACTCGTACTGCTGTACCCTCATTCTTGACAAAAAGAGAGCAGTCCGATGTTAAGAAAGTTCCTAAAGGTGTCCCTCTACAGTTTGATATAAATAGTGTGGGAAAACAGGTAAAGAAAAATTTTTTTTCTGTGTTTCTTTGGACCACTCACTGACAGCCTTCCGATGACCTGAAATATTTTACAGCAAATTAAACAGGGTGACCTAACACCTTCCCCAGTCCCTAGGCAACCAATAATCAGCTTTTTGTCTCACAGATTGCCTGCTTTGACATTTCACTTAAATCGGATCTTGTAATATATGATCTTGTTGCTGATTCTTTCATTTCCATGATTTATTTAAAGTTTCTTCCATATTAGCATTTTCTTTTTATTATTTGAATGTTGTTTATCACATGTATATGTCACATTATATATTTTTTAATTAGTTGGAAGTTTCTGTGTTCTTTGGCTACTATAAATAATTCTGTTTTGTCAGTTTTTATGTTAACATATTTTTTTTCTTTTTTTTTTATTTTGGTAAATGTCAATGTATATATTTGGTATATTTTTGGTAGACTGTATGCTAAGTCCATATTTAACCTTTTAGGAACTGCCAAGCTGTTTCACAGAGAGGTAGCTATATTCTTTTATATTCCTACAGCATATATGGGGTTTCTAAACTTCTCCACATTCCCGTCAACATGTGTTATCTTCTGTCACTTTGAGTATAGGGAGAAATGGGTATAAAGTAAACTCTCACTGTGTTTAACAGTTTGTGTATTATTGTCGTCTTTGATCTTTTTACATAGACTGAGCTTTAGGGGCTAGAGCGATGACTTACTGACTGTTCTACTATATAGGTCCTGACTTCAGTTCTCAGTACCCACATGGCTTCTTACAGCCATTTATAATGGAATCCAGTGCCCTCTTTTGTTGTGCATACATACATACAAACAAAGTATCCACAAATGTAAAATACATAAATAAATCTTCTAAAAGATAAAAATGAAAACATCTTGGTTAGTTAACTGCTTTTTTATTTAAAAAAATCACTAAACTTCATAGTCTCTGGACTCTAGTTTTTTTATATACTTATAAAATATAAATAAATATTTATATATATTTATATAATATATAAATAAATATAAATATAAATTTTTAAATATAAATAATACTTGTTCATTCTCTAAATTCTTTTCCAGTATTTAAACCATTTTTCTTGTTATAACGGCTAGCACATGTACTACAGTGTTGAATAGGTATAGGAAGACTAGTGTGCTTGCCATGTTCCAAAGCCTGAGGACCATGTGTGTAATACTGGTAGCAGTTGGTTACTGTACCTTACAGCTAAGCTTGCCCACTTTTCTGAGTTTGAACTCAAAAATATAACTTTGCCTTTTCCCCTTTTTCTTCAGGTACTGACCAATCCCAACCATGCTTGCCCTGATACTTGGGGCCTTCTCATTCTTTGCTCTGAGAACACCCCACTCCTCCTCTCTAGCTGTTCAGGTCTCCACTGCTGACTCTCCTTTTCCCTTCTCTGTCAGGTGCTGGGAGTTACCGCTTACCTGCCTCTAGTTTTTCCTTTCAAACTCTTGAAGAAAATAGTTCTTAAGTTTAATATGTTTATTTGTATATTACTATTGGCTTTAAGTTTATTGTGGATTCTGTTTATCAAATTGAGGGAGCTCCCATCTTACTAATTTGCTGAGAATTTTTGTTGAATATCATCATACACTTCTTTGGAAAACAGTTTACCAAAAATGAGGTCTTGGTATTTAAAGTTAGAAGTATGGGGGGAAAACTTGGTTTTGTTTAATGAGAAAGTGCATGGTGAACATAGACAAAGTCCTTTGTACAATCGCTGATACTAAATATGGAAAAAAAAGAGACAGATGTACTCTTTTATTTTGATCCTGTTCTTAATTTCTTTTATGTTTGGAAACACTTTGTTAGTTGTTCATCAAGCCAGAGTTTTATTTGAATTTTTGTAGGGTACTCAGTTAAAAATTTTTGAAATACTCAGAAGTTGAAATAACAGTGGTTCTGTTATTTTTTTAAATCACAGTCTCATACTGTAGCCCAGGCTGTCTTTATACATGATTTTCTTTCTGCCTCAGCCTCTTGGGATATTAGTAGACCATCATTTCTGGGTAAAAGAACCTTTTTTGTTGTTTGCTGCTTTTGTTTTTTGAGACAGAGTCTCACTGTATATCCTTGGCTAGCCTTCATAGGTCTACCTACCTTTGCTTTCTAAGTGCTAGAATCAAAGGTGTATGCCAACACCAGCTGAAGTAACCCTTTACCAAAGGCATCACTGGAATTTGTAAGAGTGTTTGCAGAGCCCCAAAGTGATTCAGATAGTGGTATCTTGTACGTCTGTTACAGACAGTAGAAATGGTAGTATGCATGTGTTTATGTAATAGTAACGTAAGCATTATAGTGATGGGAAGATGAGGATCCTTGGACTGCCTAGTTTAAAATTCTAGAGCTTCTGATAGGCAACTCAATCATACACACAATTCAAGATGTTACATATTGCTATTTTTAGTTACTGTTAATTTTTAAATCACATATAAAGGAAATGTCTTTTTTTTTCATTTAAGTTAATCTTTCCCTCTTTTTCTATAGACAGGGATGACTTTGAATGAACGATTTGGGATACTGAAAGAGCAAAGAGCCACTCTCACATTCAACAAAGGAGGAAGCCGATTTGTAACTGTGGGATAGATCCACGTCAAAGGAACTCTTAAGTGTTGACTGTTTGGAAAGTTGAATTGCTTGAAGAGTTCATCAGAGAAGTTCAAGAAACTTTACTTCAGAATATTCACAAGCCTAAATAACTTTATTTTTGAAGGTTTTTTTTTTAAATGTATAAATAATGCCCTGAAAGAATAACGGGGATATACCTATCTGTTCTTAAAGATTTCATGGTTGGCCCAAACAAAGCAATTATCTATTGACTTCTTAGATTCCTCGTGAAGCAGAAGGAAGACGGAAAGATAGAAGTCGATTATTTTTATGAGTGTGATATTTAGGATCTCATCACTTTTGTCCAGTTTTTAGACTTTGCCATGGTTAATCTTAAACTTCAGAAATAAGAGTACACCCCTGTGTTGCTGTAACTTATCACTGATGTGCTGGGGTAATAAACAGTCGCCTTTCTGTCATTGGTGGTGTTTTAAATTTTATGAGAATTTCAGTTTTAGCTCTTAAAGAATTGTGGAAATATTTAGAATTTGGCTCATTTTTAAGTTATTGTTAGCTTAAACCCCTGAGTTCTAAACATTTAGTATTGAACTTTTAGTAAGAATATGGCTCTCAGGATTAGTCTCAGATCACAATGTGTCAGGGCTGGAAATGCTTATTTAAAAAATTATCTGGGAGGGCCCTACAGGAGATGCCCAACACCCACACTGATAGTTTGTCTCTAGTAAAATTTTTTTGAAGAAGAAATGAAAGGCAGTAGCAGATCGAAGGATTGAAAGTGATAAAAAAAAATAAAAACCTGAGTTATAGTTACACTGTTTGGATTTAGTGTCATCTTGAGTCTAGTGTCCATAGATTCTTCTAAAAATGCTTATAAGAATTTCGCTTTTTAAGATGAGTTGAATCCTTGGATATTTTGACAGTACACTTACTAAACATAAAATCCTGTGCTTCATATTTTAAAAAGTTTTTTTTTAAATGCCTTTAGGCTTGTTGAGTTCAATAGTTTACAATTCCCCAAACAAAAATCTACTTGCACATGTCACAATGAAAAAAAAATGATAATGAAGTTATACGTAACTGTACACGTACATGCCATTCTGTCTTGTGTATCACGCAGAGTTCAGACATTTTAGGGAGAAAGGATTGTTCTCTTATTCTAGAGGTCTGCTGTGCCAAAATAGTGCTGAGAGTCCTCGTATAATTGTACATTATTAATAACAGTAAAATGCCAAAATGCAGTGACATATTCCAGCTACAGGTTATCAAGTGTGGTCATTTTGAAGCTTGACCTTTTGTTTTGCTGATTTTAAATCTCTGAGTGGTTTAAGTATCTCTGCTGTTCATTTCTTTTGAATACCGAGACAAAGTACTATGCTTCCTGCCTGCCTTCATTGCGTCCTGGACTCCATTGTCTTTGATGCTCTTTAGAATTTCATACTGGCTTATGCTAGTCATGGGAAAATCAGCAACAATTTCATGCTTATACCAAAGATCTAAATCTGATCCTCAGTGTCTGTTATTTGCTAGTACTTCTACTTGATAAGGGATTTTTGGAAGCCAATCACAGAATTTGAAAATAAACTCTAGTTTCTCCTTAGCTGTGATGCTTTTCATAGAGGCCAAGGACTCATTGTAAAACATTTTGCCAATATGAATATTTATATCTGGTTCAGGAACAAAACATCTTAGAGTGGTTTGCTGGTAGCTTATTTTCAAGCAAAGGAAAAACAACTGAGCATGAACACTATCTTTGGAACAATTTGTTAAAATATGGTATAAAAGTCTATGTTTTTTTGTTGTTTTAAATATTATACAGAGGTATAAGTAATTCCGTTTTTGGAAAAATATTAAAAATTGCCCAAATGTTGACACTAAGTACATTGAAAAGCAGTGTCTTTGGTATAGTAAATGTTTCCTCTTCATGCATCTGTAATTTAATTTTCTTTCAAAGTAAATTTTGCTTTTGATACAACTAAGTTAAAACTCATGAGTGCTATGTTGTATATAAACAAAACAATATGCTTTGTTGTAGGAAAATTTCCTTTCTTGGAATGTGGTTGTAGTCATTGTTCAGTTTTCAAAGCCTTTTTCTTTTTTTAATTTAAACAGGGTGCAACTTAATATTTCCTTTGCATCAAGGTGTATGCAAAGCATTGATGCAGTGCATCACAAAATGAAAGTTTGTATTTAATGAGGAGGTGCTTTACACTGTACTTTCTGGTGTTTTTTGGAAAAGTTACATTAGATTTATTCTGAAGCTGTTCATTTTTGACAAATAAAATGTAACAGGTTTCACATGAGTTCTTCTGAGCTATAAAGATTAAGTTGTGGGTTTTAGATTGTTGTGTGTTCCAGAGCATTTTGTAGTTATTATATTTATGATTTCTAGGATTTGAAGTTAAATCTACACTCTTGGTGTTTCTCTAACTGCCTTTTGACCATTTCACACATAGATAACATGAGGTTCCAGCGTGAGGTAACTGAGGAATTAGATAATCAGATTGCTTACAGTGCAGAGCACGGAACTAGATGAATCTTTAGAGACCATCTGCTTTAGCCCCTTTTTTTACATCTTAGCAAGTGAGAAACAACATTTTCTGAGACCTTATATGTAGCGGTCATGTTTTGAGCCTCACGTCTTAGACTTCTCAGTGGACAATAAACTACTTCCCACATAGACACTAGTTTTGTGGTATTTAACTTGTCCAGATATTTAAGAATTAGTAATAGCCCCATCTCAGCATTTGTGGCATATTTAGTAAATCTACTCTTCCAATGATAATTCCTACTTTATTACTTTGATACTGAAGTTGCTGAAGGTCATTGGGAAAGGCCAATGTTTCCAGTGTACACCAGGAAGAAGATTGTTAATTCCAGACCCCATCTCAAAAAAACACACAAAAAGGAAATACTGGTGTTCGAATCTGACATGTATCTTTAAACAGACACAGACTTTTCACTCTATAATCAAATTATAAAATACTTTGTATTTAAGAACTATACAAGAGTTGTTCTTGTTTAGTTTTGTTAGAGGTGTATATAATACACTGCTGTCTGTAATGTAAATCATAGTGTATGCACTTTGGCAGTATTTTACTAAGGAGATTAGAAAAAAGTTCACTTGTCACTACAGAGAATTCTTTTTATTACAAATGTAGCAATATTAAAGCAAAAAAGGACTTGGTCATTTCTGATTAATATAGACCTTTCCCAGTTATTTGGAATCACTAATTTGCCACTATTAAAATCTTAGTTGAAGATGGTTGTGTTTGGAGCTCGAGTTTTGGGTGGGGGTGGTGTTACAGTCAATCTCTGTCTTTCCCTCCCTCTCCCCTTCTCTCCTCGTTCCCCTTCCTCTCTAGGCTATACATAACATTGTATCACATTGATACACGTCAGCTTTCAGAGAACTGAGTTTACAGGTATATGCCACAATATCCTGTTTTGTCACATGTTAAAGACTGGTTTATATATTTGTGTATGTGCCTGCATGTATGTTTATGCACTGTGTGTTTTGGTGCCTATGGAAGCCAGGTGAGGGTGTAACTCCTGAACTGGAGTTAGAAGTGGCTGTGAGCAGCTTGGTGTAGATAGCAGGAATGGAACCTGTATCCTCTTCAAGAACAGTGCATACTCTTAACCTTCTCTTCAGCCCCTTTGGCATTTCAAGATGGATATTTCAATAAACACCAAGCATTTATGAAAAGAATTTTGGATACTGTAGACCACTAAGAAATGTAAAGATTTGTTTGGAAATTGTAGACTTCTAAGTATACTCAATGAGGTATACTAATGTATATATTACTATACTAAAGATGAATAGGAAGCTATTGACCTAGTATATATGACTATTAATGCCTCCTCTCTCCCTTTTCCACTTCCTCTAATGAGAAGAAAATAACATTAAACTTTGTTGTATAACTTTTTTAATCAATTAGTCCTTATTGACGGAATAACAAAGGCAGGTGTGATGGCACACATCTGTGCTCCCAGTACTTGGGAGGCAGAGGCAGTAAGATTGCTGCAGGTTCCAGTCTGCACAGTGAGTTCCAAGCCTGGTAGAACCAAACCTGTCTCAGGAAAAGCATAACTAAAAGCCAAATGATCAAACATTTTGAATATTTACCAAGTTGGTTTAAGTTTAAAGAGGATGTGATACACCAAGTTTTTAAACTTTAGGAGTACCCACAATGAATTTCTAATGACTTTTTCAAAGTTACTGAAATTGGAGTGAAATTTGCCTCTAGTATTGAATGAGTTAAGTTTTAGCCTATAAAATAAACAGGAAGGGGAGTCTAGCAACTCCTGAGACTGAGTAACCCCCACTGCCTCTTTGGTAGCTTCTTAGAGTGGTAGTTGAATATGGTAGTTAATTTCTGTTCCCTTTAGATCACAGCCTTTTTACAACTCCTTAATTCTTCACTAAGGTTGTTACGAACTCTCCACAAATTCTATTTCTTATAACCCAAAGTACAATACCTACTTTATGAAGATTGAGGAGCAGAGTTTGATAGTGTATGTCTATAATCTTAGCACTCAGGAAGCTGTGGCAGGAAAATCAAGAGTTTGAAGCCAGCCTGAGCTATTTAAATACTGTTTTAAAAAAAAAAATGGGACTAGAGAGATGGTACAGTGGTTAAAAAGCACCGACTGCTCTTTCAGGGGACTTGGATTCGATTTCCAGCACCCATATGGCAGCTCACAATTGTCTCTAAGTCCAATTCTGTGGCAAAACACCAATGCACATTTAAAGAAAAATGGGGGAATAAGGATTGAGAGAATTCTATGCATTTTGCATTTCGTAGTTGAAACCCCAAATCTTTAATACTTCTCAAAAATTTATCCTTGACCTCACGATCTCACACCCTTTAACAACTTAAACTTTTTTAGGCTGTGCTTGTGTGTTCCCGAGTTTATATATGTACTATGTGCGTGCTTGATGTTTGCCAAAGTCAGAAGAGGACATTGGACCCCTGAAACTAGAGTTGTGAGCCACCGTGTGGGAGCTAGAACCAAACACAAATTCTCTACCCGAGCAACAAGTTCTAACCAGTGAGCCAATACTGCAATTCAGATTTAATTATACATATTGTGCATGTATGTTTTCACATGTGCACATGTGTTTGCTGCACATGAATATATATCAGCACGTGCAAGTCAGAAGATAGCTTTCTTTCTGGAGTTTGTTCTTTGATCCCAACACATAGCCTCTGGGAATCAAATTCAGGTCATCGGGTTTGGTGGTAAGCATCTTTGCCCCTGAGCTATCTTGATGACTTAAATCTTTTAAGTAGTTATATATATTTTTAAGATAACATCTCACTGTTGTCTGATACAGGATTTAAATTCCCGTGCTCAAGTAATTTCCTGCCTTCATTCATTCTTCATTAGTTGCTTGACTGAGGCAGAATCTCACTGGCTCTCTCAGACTGGCTTGAACTCCCTGTTCTTGCTCCCC